AAGGGATCGTTGTCTCGTCTGAAGATATTGACACTCGTTATTGAACGTTCAACGATCGTTAAGGGAACTCAGTCGTCCTGCCCTGCCTTGGAGCTAATCGTTGAACCGTGCCAGCGGCCACACAGCGACGCAGCGGTTAGAGCGTTAGACCTCTGATCAAAAGTCGTGGGCTTTAGCCTAAGGTGGGGCACTACTTAACGTTGGGTATGACTATCTGATGACGTCTAATGAGCCAGAAATGTTCATACCAGTCTTCCTTGTCTTTGCCAGCAATGCTATCCTTCCCCGTAGTATCATACAATCCCAGAAATCAATAGCACTGGCACATTGGAATGTAGAACGTGTCTCTTTTAGGAACATGTTTATTTTCACCGGAACAAGTTTCATTGGCTTCGTTGACGTTTCGGAGAGCTGAGCTGGCTCTCATTGGTCGAAGCCTAAACAGCCACTACCGATATGCAATTTGAATGTGAAGCTGTACTTTTAGGTGGTGGGCTTATCGATTTTTTCTCGTTCGCTGCCTCGCCCCTTGTTGGTTGGTGTTGCGCTTCGTTCTCACGGTGGAGGGTGCTGGTAAGTCTGCTTCCTCTTCTGGTGAGTCCGTCGCGAGGTCGTCCTCGCCCGCATTTTTTGAGTTGGGTATCGAAAGCAAGTTAAATGGTACTTCCTAACTGGTATGTACACAGAATCTGAGATAAAACACTAACGTTGAAATAATAAAGAAATTTTTCTATCATCCCTAGTGGTTGTCGTTCGTGCTGTTTTGGTAATTGAGCAATAACCCTCTGCTTAAAAAGAAGTGAGGTTTTTCGTCGGCAAGACCAAATCGACACCTCGGGAATTCTGGCCGCCCGTTTATTGCATCTGAAGGCGTTAGCCGGGGGCACAATTTTTGACCGCCGTAGACTCGTCTGATTGAACTTGACACCGTGACACGCGATCACGTGACTATATGCGTATGGCGCCATGGCGAAGACGACGAATAATAACCAAGGGTCATACTATGCTCATACAAACAGGCCCTGACGTACGTGTTAGCAGCTTTAAATGTCCAAAACTAGTTTCAACTGATCTGATTCACGCTATCCAATGACCTTTTGAGCCTCGGCCGAACTGGAACGACCTATATAATCCAGCTTAGGCTGCGGCTCATCGAGCGTGGAGGATCCACAGATTGTCACACCCACATGTGAGATAATCTCTGTAGCTTGATTTGTCCTTATGTGGTAGGTCTTTTAAAGTGTATACGGTTTCAACTCGTGTGTTCTAAGCAGTAAAATCG